TTCCAGAAAGTGGTCGCTTTTCTGTTCAGAGTGTTGTTACTATTTTTTTTTTTTTAAGATTTTATTTATTTGAGAGATTGAGAGAATGAGAGATAGAAAGCATGAGAAGGAAGAGGGTCAGAGGGAGAAGCAGACTCCCTGCTGAGCAGGAAGCCCGATGTCGGACTCGATCCCGGGACTCCAGGATCATGACCCGAGCCGAAGGCAGTTGCTTAACCAACTGAGCCACACAGGCGCCCCTGTTGTTACTATTCTTATCTTCGCTCTCCTGTTGAGTTCGTAGGTGTTCAGAATGGTTTGATCCCTATTCAGCTGAATTCCTGAGACCAGACGAAATCCAGGTCTCCTACTCCTCCGCCATCTTGCTCCGCCCCTCTCCAGTATATTTTCAAAGGCAACATTAAATGTTGACAGTATTTAATATTGGTAGTATTATTTAATTCATAGTTCACATACAGATTTAATTGTTTTAGTATATGCTTTGTATAGTTGTTTTTTTCTCCCAATTTTGGACAAGACTATGCAGGGAATTTATTTCTCAAGTTTCTTTAGAATAATTTCCCAGTCTTTCATTGTTTTTCTTGACAATTTTGAAGGATTTATGCTGATACTTTATATAATGGATCCCAGTTTGGGCTTTCCTTCAGATTCTTCATGATTAGTTTCAGGTTGTGTTTTAACAGGATTACAAAATGTTATCTCATTGCATTGTATCAGGAGGCACATGATGTCTGTGTGCTTTCTTTTTGGTGATGTTCAATTTAATTACTTGGTTAAAGCTGTGCTGCCAGTGTAAGGGTACTGTTGTTTTCTTTATAATTGGGAAGTGTCTTGGGGGGAAATATTTTGAGACTATAAAATTGACATTCTTCTCTAAAGAACTTTTCTTTCTGCTCAGTTTATTTATCAGTGTGGACTCACCAGTGGGTTCTATTTTATTCACTAGGTATTAATCTGTTACTGTTATTTATTTTGATACCACCAGATTTGGCCCGTGAAAGCTCCTTCAAATTAGTTTCTGTGATTTTTTTTTAAATCAACTTTATTGGAAATTCAATTTATATATAATCTGCCTATTTAAAGTATATCATGTGAGTTTGACAGATGTATACATCCATGAAAACCACTGCCACAATAAATGTACAAAATATTTGCATTATCCCCAGAATATTCCTGATTCCCTGATGCAGTCCATCTGTTTTTCTGTCTCTGGTTTCAGGTGATTATAGGTCTGCTTTTTTCTCATTATGGGATCAGTTTGCATTGCTGTGTCCTCTGAACAGGTCTTCATCATTGTTTGAGCACTTTGTTATTTTGTTGTACAAGATGTTCTAGGCTCATGTTGAACTTTACCTACTTCATCCTTAATTGGCTACTTATTCAGGCAAAGTTGGTTAGTAGTTAAACACTGAGATCTGAGTACAAGTGTGCTCATTGATTCTGGGGTGATATTGCTTCTAGGCACTCTT